CTATTAACTGGAGTGGTTTCTTCCACACTGTTGCTTGTCTTTGGAGCAACTTGAGATGTTCAACCAATAGAACATCGCTGGAACAGCTAGAAAGTGCTATTGAGATCTCTCGATCTGGGACTGGTGGAAATATATCACTCCTGCCTGGTGAGGACGTTTAAAATCAAAATAGCTAGAATGCTGTATCTGTATACCTCCATTTCTTGACTAAGCTTTTTTTTTGGATGAAGATTCTGAGACTCAGTTGTCAGAAATCGAACATTCACATATGGTTCTTTTGGAATTTAAGAAGACGGTAGGTGCAGGTGGTGAGCTCCGCTTCGAAGCTTTTATACATCTCGCAAGTATATCAAATCTCATAAAGTCTCTCGCATTACACTCCAGAGTTATGCACTATGAGCTTTTCGACTGTGTCATATTACTTTTATTGCAAAAGTCATTGGCTTTATATCAAATTCTGAGTCTGACAGCAGATGACATGCGCAGCGGATGATAGGCAGATTACCGACAGCATTTTCTCATACTCTTGATTTGCGGTATTGGAATATCAGAACACAAAGCAGCTGGGAACACGGACTTTCATCGAAAGTGACTGCAAACATATCGGGATTCATTCTTCATAGAGTGCACTATAGCGATGACTATTCATCCATTCTGTAAGTGCCTTCTCTACCGAGTGCCTTCTTTACATAAACGAGGAAGATTTGAGCAGCCCACAAAAAAACACAGCCTTTTCCAAGGAAAAGAAGAAGCGACTATTTATTTGCAAGGAATAACGAGAAACTTTCTAGACAATCTCCGCTAAACCCCCGCCCCACATGAAAGAGATCTATGAGAAGCTTTCAAAGCCTGCAAAGCATCGGTTCGCTGAACGATTTTTGGCGGAGATACTGTCAGGGTTACAGCAACTTTAGAATATGGAATGGCTGCCTTGATGAACACTAGTATATGTGCATTCCTCACTCCACACACTGCTGGAGCATAGTGCTTTTCGTCCGTCATTCATTCATTCCTTCAGTCATTCCCGATCGATTCGAAATTGCATGCCCTGTCAGACAGGGCCAGCTATCACATGCTTTTGAGGGCAGGACTTCTCACACGCATGCGCACTGCCCAGCACTTCCTGTTGTCACAGTTCCCCACTTCCAAGCCGAAATATTAGGGGCACACTCCTAGACTGGCGTGGTTATAGACGTACATCATCGCAGGGGTTATCCTAGTTTGTAAATTTGACAGGAGGTTGTGAAAAAACTAGTCTGGATTCCACAATCTTTCGGCCGCCAGGTCCTCCTTTGCCCTTCCTTCTTTGCCGTTTCGGCTGCTGTTCGTTCACGCGTGTAGCTCATACGGCTTCATTGTGACCCTCTAAGCAGGAGATAATGTCTGGATCAAATTCCCAACTGGCTGATCAAATCTTTGCACGTATTTCAGTTATCCAGGGTGTCGAGAGCCGTCGGGTACCACCAGCCCACGCCGAGGCATTTGGTTTAGCTCAATGTTTCATTCCAGTGGATTGACACGAGCACAAACTGAGAAGAAAGACAGATGATCAGAGACATGATCATAAGTATGTGGAAGTTGTGGATAGGATTATACGTCATCGATTGCTCTGAGGAAAACAATCGAACCATTTTGATTTCGTTTTGTGAAAGTGTCGTGTGAGGAAGGAGCTTTTCCCAGCATCCACCATGATCATGTTGTTAAACAGTGCTGCTAGTGGATGACTGACCATCATTAGCAGCTTTCCAGACAGGCAGAGAATGTGAATCTCCCCCTCCGCCTACGAGGCAGCCAGACAGCCAGGATGAGTGCTTCAAGTCTGCAGACCCTACATACGTGATGCGGTTCATTGTTCAGCCAGACAATTCCAAGAGCAACTTCATGACGATCATGTCCTGTCGTGGCGAGGTTTGTGGCACATGCCCGTGGAAAGCCAGAGGAAATAAAAAACGCAGCTGCAACTCGTTTTTGACTTGGACATAAATCAGCAGTTGCCATGAGAACAATCACAGTTCTTGTCTCAAACAAACGCTGCAACTCGGTTTGGGTTCGGATGTAAGTAGGCTGGGAATACTCCAAGCATGGCTGCCTAACTCCAGCCACTTGCTACAAGTTAATCACATGCCTTGACTAGCTTAGTGACTTGATTATTTTAAACATGGGGCATGAGGTGAAGACCATGTCCAACCTTATTCTAAAGTCTAAGGTTGCACTTGGAGTACAATGATGAACTGTTTGCAGATGTGACTACTCCTTATGTACGAACCTTCTTACTGTTGCAATGACAATGTTCTTTATAGAAAGGTGGAGTAGTGTCGATCTGAAGTAACCGATTAGCGTCATGTTTCAAAGCTGAAGTGTACGTACTTGTAGAACTTTTATTTATGCGAATAAAACCTCGACTCATATATCGTTGTGTCTGCGTTACGAAATTCTTCTCAAGCGGCGATCATGAACATGTTGCAGCTTTAGCAGAATGCGTTGTCTCTGCATGACAGTCAGCTCATTGGAGCCTAGGAAGGAATTAAGTATGCCGGCGAATATGAAGTTGGACGGAGCTTCCAGATATTCAGTTTGAAGTGAGGATAAGGCATATCTTGCTGTGAGAAAAGATGGTGCAGTATGTTGAAAGTGAAATTAGGACTGTGAGTACATCATGTGCTCAGGTGCATCAGGTGCTTACCTTTAGCGCAGAAGTGTCGACAACTGCAAGAGCATCTCTTACTTCAACAGAAAGTGGAGGCACGGCGATACTTTCATATCATGCAGGAGACAAGAATAACCATTGTAGAGTGAAAGCATTGACTATGAACAATTGTCGGTGAAGTATACTAATATACAACGCATCATGAGGTTGAATGATACAAGTGTGTGTTCACGTCTACCCAGACGTGTCCACACGCCAAGACGCATTCCATCCTCTGCTTTTTCTTTTGTTTGGTTTTGTTAGGGTCTGTACACTTTGTACATGCTCTTGATATATAAACTCTCTTCAAAGAAAGGTTGTCCATCATGTAAGTATACAATTTGTTTAAGATCATATTTTTGTTGCATCTAGCTATACCGCTAATCCAATCGCTCAAGGTACTCGACGTAGATTGTCAGGACTTATATAAAGTTTTCTCTTGCCAGATATGTGCCAATCCAAAAGTACGGACTTGAGCAAGTATAGAAGTTAGTTTCGTATGTATTTGACATGTCTTTAAGATTGAGAGTTTGATAAGAAATCTAGGCCTAAGGTTAAGGGTTTGGAACAAAGCTCATCGGAGAACAATTAAGAATTTGAATCCTTGAGAGTGTGGTTATGGTGGCACATAAATTAGTGAATCAAACTGGTCCTTTGAAGGCCATTAACATTTTGGTTGGAAGGCAAGCTCTCCTTTGTGTTATAAAAGGAATGTACATATGGACCTTTTGGGAGTAAACAAGTTAACTTGTAACATACTCGTTACAAGTTGTGAATGAGGTATTTAGGGCCTTACCATACTACCGGCAGCCGGCACCAAGCTTCTGGCTTTAAGAAAACCAGGTTTTCGTATGCCTAAGTTGGCCAGTTGGAGACAATTCCATAATTTCTTCCACACTACCGGTAGTGCCTTTGGAATGCAAAGGGAAAAATATCTCTACTAATTGCAACGCAGCTGTGAGAAGTCTTTGGAAGATTAACCCAAGAATGCGCCAAAGTACACGTGGAGTCTATATATTCCGGAAAAACCGGATTTCCAGCGGAAGTGCCTGGTAGTTTGGAGAAGTCGATTTCTTTGCCACCTTGGAGTCTATATATTCCGGAAAAACCGGATTTCCGGGCGGAAGTGCCTGGTAGTTTGGAGAAGTCGATTTCTTTGCCACCTAGGATATATCAAATTGCCGCTCCCTCCCGTGTTGTAAAGGGGGAAGCTCGGGTGCCAATAACAAGCGAGGATTCACCGTCGTGTGGTTTGGCCCTTAGTTTACATGGTTTGAAAGACGGAGTAAGTGTTTCATGTCAACCAACCTCTCATCTTTGTGAGTCCAACTCCAGTAACGCTATTTCACTGTATGTAGTTTGAGTCTCACTACGAGCCATATCCTAAACAAAATCATTCACACATCTTCATCGTATAATGAAGAGGCACCAGCTCCGTAGTCTAATATTTATAGAATAAAGCCACACATGCTATCATATGGTAAAAGAACTGTAGTCTAGATAATTCTGAAGTATAGGTTGTACTAGCCTCATGGACTAGCTAGTATCTGTTCGTGAATTGCTTATTAAAGTCTGCAAAGTTTCTGGGGTTTGATTAGACAATAAGTTTACTGGAGGAAATTCGACGTCATCCAAATGACACAACGACGAACCATTCAACGACCATTCAAACAGGTCCGAAGCGCAGGGTTGACGTTCAAATCACTCTGTGCACTCGAACTGACGTGCAAATCCTTGAATTCACATTCATAAGCAAATCACCGGAGGTGGAGTACTGTAATTCAAATAAATTCCAAAACAATATCAATGGGTATGATATGGATAGCTAATGCCTACATCTGGTAAACGCCGACAAGTTGCAAGAACTTTCTCGACGTTGTCTGCTAGAAACTAGTTGTTAGATAGACCAGAGAGTGTGATCAGCGTAGTTAGAGCAGGAAAAGAACGAGAAGCCCACTTTAAAAATTATCGACGACGAACATTAAGCTGATATAACTTAACGGGGGGGACTTAATGTTAATTTCTTTTGAAGCGGTAGCGCTTCAGAAGTAATAAAGCCCGAAGGGTATGAAACACGAGTGCCTTATGAGGTCATTCCATTTTCTAGTACTAACCGTTTCAAGCATTACACTGCTCATGTAACGTATTACTTGTGTGAGGAGTTATAAGAAAATGGGTATGCTGTTAACTTCGTACTTATTGCACTTGTGAACAGTCGCCTTCATATAGATTTCAATGAGGTGTAATTGGATCTAATTGACAGAGAGCTGCCCAAGACCAAATGAGGTCTTCAGAAAATATGACAGCAAAAGCGTGAGCCAGATTCCAACAAATTTTATTGCTTCGAAGGACTCCTGCTTGGACCACCACATGGAAAACATGGATATTTTCTGCCTGATAATGTCGGGCATGTTTGTGCTCACCTTCGAAATCATGCATCTGAGAAGTTATTCTATTTCAAAAGACAATGCACGGTATAAGAGCAGAGGGAAGATAACATCTTTCACCCAGAGGATATAGGTGAGGGAATGTTCCTGGAAAAATGTACATCAATGACTAGGCAACAGACTCTGATCCCGCAAATCGTCTGTTGCATGAATTCTACAGCTAGCTACTAAGACATTAGCTTGAGAGCTCCGCAAATTCCGTCCACCTTCGATATGGATCTCGAGGACCCGGTGAAGCTCACAGGTAGGGAATGTTCCAGAATCTGATGAACAGGTTTAGTTCAGATCCATGATATCTGAAACAGCTGAAGTAAAATTCACATACCAAGTAAAGGCAGGAGTCAGATACCCATCCCACTCTATCGAAACCTCGTTCTGTAAAACAGAAGACAAATGTTTTCACTTCACGTGCAGATTTTTACTGAAATGGGTAAAAGTTTCACTTCATCACTAGTAACTATGAGTTGCAGGAACCTACAAGAATGTTATCCACAAACAGACATAATAGAATGTTCTTGACATTTTCAAGTATAGAATGAAAACGTACGATCCTTCAGGGGTGTAGAATTACCTGAAGAATCAACTAATTGTCCAAAGCTCCTAAAGAACTTGCAGGATTCTCTGTGTCGATAGCAGAGTATTCAGGGTAACACCAAGGCATAACTTCCCAATTAAGCGAGGGTGTCAAGTTAGGATCATCGAGAAGTTGCTCAAGTTGTTCAAAGGTTTCCATGTTACCCTCGGGAGTAAAGTGCAGTCCGTCGCTGCACATGGCACAAGTATAAAATGGTTTATGAGACTACACAAAAGCAGTTCATGACTTGAACAAGTCTGTTGGGCCAAGAGTCCTTAACTGTTCGGATCATATTTTAGTCCAGGTCGAAGATCACTTCTGCGTAAGTAATGGCGTTTCCTACTTTCATCAACAAGGATAGAGTAGTGATCATCAATGACATTTACAAGCTTATGAAAACACACTTATTAGCATAACCTAGACTGCGCAAGAAAATTAATCTGAAAGCATTCAGTAGCGTTACCGTGTGCTCTACTCTGCACTCAAACCGATCACATACCAACATAGGATTGGACATGCACAGATACAGATGCTGCGACATACCACAGAAATTTTTGTTCCCAGTTCGGTGTACTTTGAAAGATTGACCAAAGATTAATTGACCTCACACCCGTCTCTTGCGCCACCGTTTCACATGCCTGTGCATACTGTCCTGCAGCTTCATTGGTGCGCTCAGGAAGCTCCTCTGCCTTTTCTCCGTATGTGGCCCTGGTCAAATCGACATGATCAGCTACATCATTCATGTAATGGCCATTAAGAGGCAAGATGAAGTCAGAATAAAGGCTGACCTTGCATAAGCTTGACGGCCCTTTATGTCCACCGGTGGAGGTGTAATCAGGATAATATGCTTGACGTTTGCTTCCTGAGGCCAGCAAGAAAATTGAGTCAGATATCCTTCAAGACACTTCCATCCCAAAATGAACCTCGAACTATCTCTGCCAGCTTACTGGTTGATTTATCTCACCTTCAAGTGAGCTACAATCTTACGCAAATTTTCCTTGTATTCCACCAGCGGCACGTGCTGAGCCCTGCTGCCTCTGTCTGGAAGAGCAGCATCATTTGCTCCAAAAAAGACTGTCACAAGCAGAGGAGGGTTTGGCGACGTCTGAAACGTCACATGCATGCGAGAAAAGTGTCACAGTCCACCTAAATGTTCGCAGCATAACTTCCTAATTCCCATAATCCAGTTTGACAGACAGGCCTTGCGAAGATGAATGGCCTATACCTTTGGAACTGCTCTGACCCAAGTGATCTTAACATACATCATAGCAATTCATGTAGCTTGATAACCAAGCTCTGCACTGCAGAATGGGCACAAATCAACATGAGAACTGAGAGCATGAATCCATCGCATTATCTACTCAGTTGGGTGAGGCAGTGGTTATTACAAGTGGGAATAAGTTCTTCAGCATGTATACAGCCCATCGAGTATTGTACCCGCTATATCCTCGAAGTATAACGTCTGCCTGCGCAGCATTTACCAGAACAAGATTCCTTCGACCACTAGTCAGCTGAATAGACTTCAATCTTTATGAAAGCCTTGCAAGTGATCATGCTGAGTTAAATTTGATCATCTTGACTGCAAATCTCAAAAAATAAAACTCTGGCCGTTCACTGAATGTGGGAAGAGAGAAGCTGGGACTGAAGGCGAGAAAGAGGCACAACTGTCCACCTCAAGATCAAACTAGCAAAAGAGTTTACTTGATATCTTGAAGAGAAATTAAATTCAAGCACTTCCCCTGATTCGCAGCAAAATGTAGTTTCATTAGCTGCTGAAACTCTGTGAATAGCTCAACGGCAGATGGCAGAAGACAACTGCTGAGATTCTCATCGACCTACAGCTTCTGGCTCGCATTCGATGCCAGCAGAGGCCACTTACCTTCCGGGCGTAGCGATTGACCATACTAGCACCCCATCCTCCTGCACCGAAGGATCTCTGGGTGATGGAATCTCCAAAGAGAATAATCTGCGGCCTGTTATTGAATGTAACCTCCATATCCAATCCCCACACCTTCCTCAGAGATCCTTCCTCCACCAACAAAATTCTCCAAAATTGCACACCTGCAATTCGACAACTGCGTTCTTGCCCGTCCTTCAAAATTCCTCTCGCTCCTACGGGAGCTACCTCTCTACTCTCGCCCAATCAATCCCTCTTCTCCGACTCCGAAAGTCGAGGCCTGGAAGGCAAACGAATTGACCCTCGTAAGTCTACCAGACAATTGACACAACGGCTTCTACACGTTGCAATTTGCAACACGTCAGCTGTCAGCTCTGAAACAAAGCAGGTCGAAGAGGACAAGACTCTGAGACAGTCCAATGTTGCACTTTCGTCTAGCGACGTTGAGCACCGAAACGACAACGGTCGCTCACTCACGCGGATCGCAACGCACTCCCAACGCACTCACGCAGGGGCATCGCCATGGATCCGACAAACAGAGTCAGGGCGGGGGAGGCATGACTCCGCTTGTTCATGGATCTAATCATCGACCAATAAACTGCAGGATACAGTAGCACACTGCACGCGCACGACACGGTCGAGAGTGAGGGACATGCTGACTCTAAATTAAATGTCGGTAATATTGAGAAGATAGCATTCAGTGCAGTGGCACGCCGGGATCCCTCTTCCGGTCAGATCTCCAGTTCCGTTCATACTTCAATATGCTAAGCAACCGAGTTGAGTTGATTTCAGCTAACCCAGTTTTGGGGAAGTTACATAGTTTTCTTCTACCTGCCGAAGACTTAATATATTGATGAAGCACATATTTGTTAAGAGAAATCACACTTATATGTATATATATATAAACATAATTTTATGCAAAAATAATTTAACGTATGTGATGAAATGTAATGTGGGTTACTTGGGCACGCACATTGATGTAAGGAGATATACGATTTTATAAAAAAATTACATTTAGTTTAAAAATGTACAAAAACATAAGTAACATAAGAGCAAATCGAAAAATTTCATATTATACTCTCAATATGTACACTTCTATACAAAATATAATAATTTTACAATAATTTATCTCCTTACACCAAGCTATTTAAAGTATTTCTTCATGAATACCGTAATTCTTCCTCCAGTGCACACTCTCGTCTACGTTGTTGCTCCGTTACAAATGTACATCCCTTACATCTTTCTTTCAACCATGCATATTGACCTTTAGACCCGTCCAAAATACTCTATTCACAAGATTATGTTGCATCTTTGTCATTGGATATTGTATGTTATTAGATACATCGGATTTTGAGACTTCTTGTCCATCCAAAGAATAGAAAATAGCTATTTATGATACAAATAGACAATTGATGTTTGAGATGTCTTGAAATGGTGTTCAATTCACATGGAGTGGCAATTGCTGGTTTTACATGAAATCAACTCTAGAAGATGTATACTTGATGTAAGACTCCAGGTTTCTTTACAAATATTATAGTTACGGTATAAACATGTAACACAATTTTACTCTAATAAGATAGAACCCTAAATTTCAAAGTATAGGGAAATCTCTATCAGTCATTTACTTTTACAGCCTTCAGATTATGTAGAATTATGGACAAAGACTTAGAGAGTACGTGATTAATATCAAATTATGCTATATGCTTTATCACTTTCTGAATCAATTTGTATTTAACATAATGTACGATGTATGTTCATTACTCTATAACAAATATAGTTTAAACTAATTTCCATATGATATCAAATAACGTTGGATAATAATGAAATATATTTGATGTTATAATAACGTCTAAAGTTTATAAGAGTATTAAAAAATAGTATGAGACTATGAGGTGAGGCTATTTGAGCAAAAAGTTAATATATATTTAAGATGGAAAATTAATTATGAATTGTATAAACCTGTGATGCAAAACAAAAAACATGTCCAAGACCTAGATATATTTTAGATATTTGGACTTAAATCCATGTATATTTGGTTCACAAGAATAAAATTAAAATTTTAAAAGATGTATAATCAAATAAAAAATGATACATCAAACTATTATTTTCCATATTTTTTTGAAATTTAGAAGATGGTAGTTATCTTGAATGGATTATATAATTGCTTAGTTTTTAATCATGAGATCAACATTTTCATAAAAAAAATTTATATTTTTTTCATTTTTTTGATATGATTGCTTCAATATATAATACCCAATGTATCTTAAGAAGATCATAATCTTCTCCTATGATGAATTTTCTCCTTGATCAAGATGAAAATCGCAAGTATGTTGATCATAGAATGTTTTTAAAAAATCAAATGCAGAGATAAATTTTAGCATTTTTTGAATTTAAAATTCAAAGCATGTTAATTTTCATCTTTATGTATTTAATATTATAAAATTCAATTTATCTTTGAGAATACAAATCTCATAAATTTCAGATCTTCATTTGAAAATCATGATATATTTCTATGATAGTGAAATAATTTGGTGTAGTTTAAAATTTATGAAAGCCTCAAGATTACAATGTAATTATATTTTCTATGATTGTTTTTAATTCTAAATTTCATGAAAATATACGATAAAAAATAACCTTTCTAATGATAAATTTCAAACATCATGATGTTTGAAATGAACATGATATTTTGAGATTGTTTAATTGCGTATCATATTTTTTCTTGTAAGACAACATTACTCAAGAAATTATTCAAAAATTGTTTATAAAAGTAGGGCTAAATCAAGTATTTCAGAGACAGCATATGTGCTTGCGGGTTTACGATTTTCCTCGTGATATGTCACTACGTATCAACGCTAAATACATATGTTTTGAAAACATATATCTTATTGATAAAAAAAAAATTGCAAATTTAAAGATGAAATCTCAAATTAAAATCAAAAACTTATTTTCCATATACATATATTAAATTTCATTAAAATTTTAAATATTTTGAATGCATAATATTTTAATTTTATAAGATAAATTTTAAAAATAAAATCAAACAAAATATTATTCAAATGATTCTACTTAAATTATTTTTTTGAACTAATCTTATGTTTATATCTAGTTTTTTTAATTTAAAATTTCATGCCTTATGATCAAACTCTATACAAATAAAAATGTATTAATTGCATGTATTTGATGTCAAACAGAAATATAAATTCAATCATGTTAAAACTTAAAAAAATTGTGAACAATTGATGAACACAAATGAATGAATCTTTTTGATAGTGTGGAAAAAATCTAGAAGTTTAAGGTGATCAACAAAATATTTTCAGGAAAAAAAATCAATAAAAATAAAAAAAATTCATTCACAGGCTATTTAAATTTAAATTGATTTTTTGTTCTTAAAAAATTATTTTCAATGATATATTGTCATTTTGAACACGATGTTTGACTTTTTCAACGTTTATAGTGTCGAATTCGAATAAATTTCAACTGTAAAGAAGATAGAGTAAATTTCATGTTTTTTTAAGTATAGAAACGATTTTATTATATTCAATTACTAGTCCGTAGATAAGATTATTGTACCCCCACTCATACAACATAATACTAGTTGTGCACTAATTATAACATGAACATCATTATGATGACACAAATTTCTGACATAGAATACTTCTAAACTTTATTACAAGTGAAATAAAGATTAATTAAATGGAATATTTCTTTTTTACTCTCATTCCAAATCTGAAAATGCATTAACCACATTTTAATCAAGTCTAGAATCAATTCATTTGATAATTTTTTTTCATAAATCAAAGATCAGTTAAAAAAATTAGTTAATTTTATATTTCTTTATAAAAACGAAGTTTTTCATATTCATCATTAAAACTGAGGTAGCAGTGTGATGATGTAGAATATTGTATGTAATGATGATGAAAGACGTATGCCCATTAGAGAGCTGATGTGTCTTTGATGCTGGCGGAATGGGCAAAGCGTTCATCGAGCATGGTCCCGCCTTGGCGTGAACCCACCCAGACACCTAAACCATAACTCATCATCGGGAGCTAGGGGATTCTGATTTCTATTGTGAAGTAGTTTCCCAATTTGGCACAATTGCTAGACTTCAGATTCTTAACTGGAGGTATAATGTGCATGATACATGTGCGAAATGGGTTGAATGTTCGATATCGAAATTATTGTGTGACATGCGAGAGATAAGACATCAATTCTTAATGAAATGAGACCAACTGAGACAGAAGTACAGGTCAGATAGTCTGAGTTTCTTGACCAAGCACATTTCTTCAGAGCAAGTACATAGAGAACGGCTTGTTGGTTTGAATAGAAAAACAATTATGAGGGATAAATTAAATACTCTAAATATGAATGAACAACATTTTCCGACTCCTCTACGTTCACAACTTGAGTACACACTAGCTTCACTTCTAAAAGGTTGAGGAACCGCAAATAAAATCGCTACGTGGAAAAGGATAACCCGTCAGAACGCTTGACTGCCTTCACCGCCGGCGGAATGAGCGCGGCAGGACGGTCATCAAGCAGAGCCCCGCGCAGGTTTGCGCCTGGCAGAGCTCACAGTATTCGCGCACTGGCAGTCAAACCTCTGCTCATCGTCCGGGAGTAGGGACTTGTCTATGATAGAGATCACAGATCAAGATGTACGTACTATAGAACAGATCCTGTTCAAGTATAGTCGTGACAGACAGCTTCTGACTTCGCGTATATATACCCCATATACCTTTCAACGCATCGCTTAGGGGCTTAAACAACTCAGGGGTCTGCACGTGTCATCCTCACAGCCGGCCCCTGTGTAACACACTGTTCATCAGAAACTACTATTGAAATCTGACTGTGTATCACTCTACATCACGAGGTATTGTTGAAATTTGATTGCGTATCACTCTTCATCAAAATCTTGACTGTCAGGGCTCCTAACCTAACCAAATATTGAATAATTTTATTATATTTTACATATTTTTGCATTTATAAAAGATACATATGTTATTAAATATTATTAATTTTGAACTTGGTTAGATATTTCAGAAAATTTCATGTTATAATATTCAGATTATAATAACTTACAAATTTCTAATTTTATTGTAAAATAGATTTTTTTCAATAATCATATTCATGCTTTTACTTGAAATCTTGAACAATACTCAAAATTACCTTTTTTTGAAATCTATTCCACATATGTAATAAAGATATTTGAAAATCTATTTTATGATTGAAAAGTCTTACATCTTAAAAATAATAATTTGTATTTGATTAGAATATAAAACACTAAGTAAGTTATTTGGTAATGAAATTATTGTTGTAGGCACATTGACAGAATTATTTATGCAACTTTCACAAAGCTCAAAATATTATGTCATTGTTGTTATTGTAATTTAATGAATCTTTGGTTAAGTTACTAGGCAAAAGTAGTTATGAGTGTCTCTGACGCTTGGATATTTATATTTCAGTATCTATGTATTACACAAGACATTTAGTACTCTCACACATACATTTTCCCCATGAACGTAGCACTTTATAATGAATCACGTTAAATATTGGTGTTGTTTGTTTATTTGTCATTTGATTATTGTTTGTTTGTGATTGTCGATTAAGTGCTAACAAATTGATATCAAAGTGTTTAGTTAGAAATTAATGTGTGTGAAAAGTTTGTTAAGCTAACAGATTTTACTTTTCAAAGACAAGAATACGAAAATCTTGGTGAAAGATTTTTCAAAGAATCTTCGTGACACATTTTTTCAAGATGAATTGTGCGTTGAAGAGCTAACTGTTTTTCAACACATTTTGCATTTGCTAACACACTTTGCTTTGAAGATCTCACAATCTTTACGAATGCATCAAGGGATTTTTAGATTTACAAATCAATCTGACAACTTTGCTGATAAAAAGTTGATGACAATTTTGTGTTTTGATTCGGAGTTTTTCACTAGTGACAAAATTCAGATTGAAGAAATTGACTATTTTAATTGTGATAGAAGTTAAATCTAAAGTTTGGTTCGAAAAAATTGTGACTCGTAAGAGTTTTTTTTGGGTAGAAGGAATGATTGACATTACACATTTAACATGGACTCTTGAACAACATTCGATACTGACATGAACAACTACAAGGGCCAATTAGTCACACTTGATGTGTTGTCTATCTCTAAGTATGTTCATTCTTTGACTTATTTTGAAAAGTATGCAGTTGAATACTTCACAACGGAGAAGAAGAAGCTCACATAAGAAGACTACAAGAGAGGTGGGTCTAAGCCTAGAAGTAATAACCAGAGCAGACCACACGCTGATATAATGATCATTGACAAATCAACGACACATAATTTGTCGATTGTTCTTGAAATGCTAACAGCCTTGAACGTTGCAATGAATTTCTTTCAATCCGAATCCAATATTGCTTCATTCCAAGTGAAAAAATAGTGTGTAGACAATCACGGTGCGGTGCGGCCAAACCAAGCAGAGAGGAGCAAGTCGATCACGTGATGCCCCCCGAGCTCCTTGCAACTACTCAAAAAACAAGTGCAGTATGCGCAGGCCGTGAGGCCGGTCCGTCCTTCCGCATTTCTTTTCCTCCTCCTCCACTCTCACAAACAGTGGAATCACAGCGGACGACGATGGCGTCGCAGTCGGAGAAAAGCACGATTGGTGCAGACTCCTCCCATCTCCCTTCAGGTCGGACGGTCGCGGGCGACGGTTAATTGCAAACAACGATTGCGTACGACATGTGTCAGGCATACTATGCGGCCATGTTGGGTAGGTTGGGAGGTCCGACCAAGTCACAGGCAACAAGGATAGAACCAACATACCAGCGGTCACGTTGGACAGTTCGCGCAGGAACGTCAAGGAGATTATGTCAGAGTATTTTGAACGTCGGAAAGATTTTGTTCGAGAGAATATTTTATATGTAAATATTCAATCTACAAGAATCTTTGTTGGAATATAGGGAAATTTGGTATTGTTGGAAAGCTCTCAACACAAGTAGTGCATCTGGATCATTTTCAAAAGTTGAAGAATGATCCAAAAGGAGAAAATCGACACTGAAGCGACTATTGTCTCTAATTTTTTTTACATGTGAGGATGACAACGTAAATGGTTGGATGATTTGAATATAACATCATAATCTTTGATGTACAACAAGACTCAATGCTTTAGGAAAATCAAGGTTATTTGTTATAGGATTTAGTAGTCAGTATGTCTGTGTCTTTCAATGAGCCAAATCATTGAAAGAGGTGTCAAGTTCTAAGCATCTTCATACTTCAAGAAAAAATCTCTTCTCACATATATGATTGTGAGTAATTTGTTCATTATGTGATTTATGATAAAGAAGGAGCACAACTACTTGTGGAATTCTAAAGTGTGACGGTCGTAGAAGATTGTGTCATGAAGCTGAGAAGAAAAAATCTCAGCTGACATATATTGTTGTGGGGGAGTTTGATCATTATGTGATTAATGATTAAAATAAACACTGATGCTGGTGGAGTTTCAAAATACAACCCAACTTTTTAATGTAGCCAACAGACTTATCATGGAGATGAAAATTGACACAAGACATGTTCAATCTTCATTATGATAGTTGAAGTGCTTTATGTTAGTTGGCAACCAGGTTATGTACAGGAGATTGAAGCACAACGACATCAGGTAGTTTTATCAAACAAGCAGTGTCTGATAAAACGATTGAGATAATTAAGATTGACAATAAACTCTCATGATTAAACTAGTCAAAATTGACAATAAACTCTCATGACAGAACAAGTCTAGATAGACGATAAACTTAATTTCAGGAATCATTACATTACTATACAGATTACACATGAAGAGCACAAGTAGAATTTTCTAACATATTATCTTCAGTTATCTCTTAATATAATTATTATATTTTCTGATGGTTACAACTTAATTCTAATTAACTCTCGTGTAAAGAAATATCTTGTATTAGGTTTTTTTCTAGAATTTTTTGCAAAGTAATTATATAGTTTACAAGGTTTTTGTTCCTTCTATGCTAGCTGATTTGTAGTTAACTCTTTATGTTTTTAATCTATCTTGTTATGGCTATGGTTTAGTTTTAGTAAATTTTTGTGAAAGAGTTGCTTTGTGTTAGATTTTTGCCTGAACTTCCAACAAAGTAATCATATAGGTTACAAGGTTTTTGTTCCTTTATGTTGGCTGATTTGTCGTTAACTGTCGCAAAGTAGTTATATAGATTACAATATTTTTGTTCTCTCTATGATAGCTGATTTGTAGTTTATTTTTTATGTTATTATTCTTTCTTGTTATGATTATGGTTTAATTCTAGTAAACTCTCTTGTAAAAAAGGAATTTGTGTTAGATTTCCGCTTGAACTTCTAACAAAGTAATCATATAAGTTACAAGGTTTTTGTTCCTTTATGTTGGTTGATTTCTCGTTAACTCTTTATGTTATTATTCTATCTTGTTATGGTTATGAATTAATTCTAATAAATTTTTGTGTTTAGGGTTTTTGTGTTTTGTGTTAGATTTCTCCCTAAATTTTTCACGAAATAATAATATAGGTTACAGATTTTATTATTTTTTTTAACACGAATTAACCTCAAGTCTTAGCTAAATATAGATAGAGTATCGCCGGTGCTAAAGTGTATATACAGTAGTATATGTATATTACACAAGACATTTAGTACACTCTCATGCATGCATTTACCGTGTGTACATAGCTTTTTACGATGAATCACGTTACACCTTGTTGTTTGTTTGTTTATTGTCACTTAATTATTGTGTGTTTTGTCACATTAGTTGCGCCGCACCTTCATCTCGACTCCGGAGATCAAACTGATTGTAACGTGATACTCTCTAACAAGTTGAACTTCCTCAAGGTTCCCACAAACTGTGGAGTTGGTGTGGGAAAACCCATGCTGGTCCTTGAGCTCATCGATAGTTTTCAACTCACATCCAACGATGCAATTTAAGGAGATCGTGACAAAATTCAAGATCACCATTTGTAAGTCGTTTGACAAAACTGTAAACCTTACACCGTATCGACGCAGTAAAGTGTTGTCTCTCGACAACACTGCATCGATTTAGAACTTTTCATCTACGTCAATTTACGAAAAGTAGTCAACTAAGATAACAAGAAAGTTACATCGGCCGAAGGGAAGGACATCATCGATATGTGAGGATCTACCAGGTCAGCCAGTTTTCGATACTGACAAGCAGTCAGCTTATAGAGTTGAAGAAACATTCTCCGGAAGCATCGTTTCCAAAAGGAATAAATCTTAAAAACGATAATGTGACCCAAGTGAACTGTGTACAGGGATTGTCGTTTGATAATTATCTAATAAGAATTCAGGTCAGCAAAATCCTTCAACGGATTGGCATATCTGCAGATAAAGCAACAACGGGTCCAACCACTTCTGAGGAGATGGTTTCTTTCAAACAGCGTCATATCAGCATGAGTTGATTCCCATAGGACAACCTTCTCTCGGCAGATGAATGAGCGAATTTCAAGATTTTCTGGAAAGGTAATCGTACTTCTTACCTGGCACAACCTGCTTTCGAGAGAGCAATTTTTTGTTGGCGCACGAAACATCTCCGCAATCGATGCACAAGCTCATTCTTCGACAATCATAAAAACTTCGAACCCAAGATCAAGGTGTGAAATTAGCAATTAATCGTCAGATAATGAACTTCTTAGATGTGTGAAAACTGCAGTGAAAGTTATATGTCCGTAATAGCTGAGTGTTGACATTGAGTTTTAAGAAAAGGTTTATTACAAACAGCGTCATATAAGCATGAGATGATGCCGATCCAAGAGACAAGTAAAATCGGGCAACCTTCTCTCGACATATGAAGGTAGTCCTAATTTCTTTCGCATCGCAAAATAAGCGAAAGAGTGAATTTCAGGGTTTTTTGTAAAGGTTATGGTACTTCTTACCTTACACAACCTGGTTTCGAGAAGCAAACTAAAGTGCGCAACATTTCCGCAATTGATGCACAAGCTCATCCTTCGACTAATGTCAATCAAAAAGTTGGAACCCAAGGCGCCACCCAGCGACATGTCGGCTGCTGGATCACAAATGGCCCATATGTGATCCGTGATGTGACCGTGCCCCATATGATATGGGGCACGGTCAGGAGGAGAGTTTGGCCTGTAAGGAATGGCTGGGGCTGCGTGAGACTGTCTTACACCACAATCAACGTTCTGCGGTTGTGCCAGCAGACAACGACACGGAGACAGCTCCCACTGTGCGGGTGGTTTCCTCTCTTTCTTCGTCGCGTAACTTGTTGACGGAACAAAATATATCACGGCCGAAGGTTCATCTAGACCGAATGCAAGCTCGAAAGACTTTGGGCCATCGACAGTCCCGCGAATCAGAACTTCGATAGTTCATGGCCATCAGTGCCATTGGGGCTCGAACTAGCCACACTCGGAAGTGGATTTAATGCAATCGTGTCTGCTTGAAGACCCAGTTCCTGGGACGAGATCGGAGACACTGACAAGCCCGTTCCGTCCGCAGTCTGCCACAGAAAGTCTTCGCGGTTGGAATGATTCCCAGCTTCGGCAGGAAGCTCCCAGGACACCTTCTCCTTGATAAAGATCATATCCTTGTCTTTGATCGAGGTGAGGGGCCCTGTATCGTAGATCACGCTTTTTCTGCTCCGTTATTGGCTCGGGATGCAAGTCCAGGTTTTATCCGCGGTCGGATAGGTTCGCCGTCTACTGTTCTGAATATATACCAGTATATCAAAGACTGTCAGATTAGGTTAAATCATGCAATGGCTTACTGTACACATCGCCTCCATCTGTCAGTCTACTGTAAGTCCTCGTGTGCAGCTGCTGGTGCTTCATTCTTTCAGGCCGACTTTTTGCCCGGAGACCGCCTCCGAGGCCCCGTCTTAAACCCAGTAACCTCCCAACGAGCTACCAAAACGATTGCACGTTCTGCCTCCCTTCGGTTAGTGCCGGTCTTGGGTGACCTTGTATCTCAAGAAATTATAACATGAACATCTATGAACCATATGACTATATATTCATATTTCAATACATGGACTTTGTCCCTCTGGTCTGTCAAAGTATGTTTTGACATATATATATATATATATATACTAAGATATTCCCGTTCACACAATAACTAATATACAAGCACTTCTGGCAAGAATATACGTGAAAATTGTTGTGCTCTTGACTAACGTAAAATTCATATAAGTTCCAACAGATTTTTTTATGATTTTAGAAATATAAGAATTAATTTTGAGAAAATAAAAAAAAAATCCTGCAGAAGTCATATTGTGATCATCATTTGCTCATACAAGGAAGACTTCAAAGTAACATATGACTGAGGTTTGTATTATATCTGTTTCAAACTTTATCACTATTCTCATCTCTTCTCACATTACTTTTACTCAACAACAATTTCATACCATCTATCTTTGTAATATTAATAATTTTCATATGTGATCAATCATATCTTATCAGAATCATAATTTTGCATTGCACACAAACATAGAATGTTCATTGAAATCTTTAGCAAAATTTGTGAATGGAATCGTTCTCCACCTTTGGCCTCAACGCATTTTCTTGGCTTTCCCTGTTCGGTGGAGGGTTTTGGCCTTGGCTCCTTTTTTACTAGCAATCCTATCATTGAGGATCCAGTTTCATAAGCTTTCATACCTTCTACGACTACCGAATTGACTAAGTTCGCTGCTTTTTTGTAAAGCCATACGCTTACACGACTATAGTTAACTACGCTCGTCAGGCAACGAGATCTCGCACGACTAAAGTTAGCTACTCAAATGAAGCTTGCAACTCTTGCACGACTACAGCTAGCTGGACCGGTGCAGTTTACGTCGACTAAAAAGTTTGAAGCAAACGACTACTAAAGCTGTATTCTAAAGTGCATGCGCGCAAAAGTGCACGCGATACGTCAGCTGATTAGCACAGCGCGGCGTCGTCATCGCCAATCTCCTCGATATCAGAGCTGTTGTCGTCGCTATCGATGCCGTCCTGTTCCACATCGTACACTGCCATGGCAGGGCGACGTGGAATGCGATCCTGCCATTTCTTGTCTAGCAAGACGACGTCTGCAGGATTGGTTTTCATCAGTTTCTTGTTGATCTTGAGGAACATGTTGATCTCTACCATGCCAGCACGCATCGCCGACCGTTTCGGAGCGATCACATCGGTCATACAACCCAGGTCGCACTCGAGTCCGCCCGATGACGACTTGTTAGCGAGAACGGCCAGCACAACTTGCGAGATACATGGCATCTGATTATGCTTTTGTGCATACCATTGGCAAAGGTCAGCAGGTTCAGGCCAGTCGTCCGGGTCAGTAGTGGACTGCAGCACGCTAATCTCATCAGCGACAATCTGCGCAGCTATCGTTGGCGCGCTCGAGGACGAGCTGCTTGACGAGCCTGCTAGTAGCTTCACCGCGCTGGCAAGCAAATTCATCGCCGTCTTCTGGCGCTTCGGGGCTTATGGCAGCGGCGCCGGTGTGTTTGCTCCCGATTGAACGCGCTGGACGACAATGCTTTGTGCAACGACAGCTACCAGGCCTTTGATCTTGGTCCAGATGTGCGCCATGACGAACGTATGGTGCTGTGCACGGAGCTCTTGGACGGTCCAGCCACGAGGTACATCCAACGGATCGATCGGCGTCGCCTCGATCAGCTGCATGATGATACGACCGGACGTCATCGGCGGAAACAGGACGCACTGCGCATCCAGCAGGTAGGAGAACTTGAAATCAGCCGCCGTCGGCACTTCTTTTCCAAGGCACGCCTTGTTGCCACGGAAAGTATAGATTTGATGTGGACGTCGAAGTGCGCGGATTGGGTTGTATCGGTCGAAGTAGCGCTCCGAGAGCGCTTGCAGGGTCAGTGCTCGCGCCATTCACGTCGTTTCATGGAGATCTGATGCGCGTCGAAACTCGTGAGGCGCCGTTTCAACGCCGAGCTGAACTCGTGTCGGCATCAACAGCTCGAGCGGAGCATCAGGATTAAGCACAGTTGTGTAAAGATTGTACATCATCATGTACACGTCAATGATTACAAAGACATGCATTGACTGCGCCTTCACTTGGACAACGCGGACTGGTTCAATAATCGAGTAGAACTCGAGGCATTGGACCTGGTCCTCATCGGTTAGCGGAAACAAGCGCCGACAGTTGTAGTATGCGAGTTTCAGCGGGTCCCAGCACAGAAGCAATCGCTCCAACACTAATGCAGTTGCAGACAAGCGGTGCTGCGGTGCTTTTAGGAGCTTTAAATACACGCTGAACTTGTCAATCATAGCGGCCTCGAACGCGCCCTGGAGGTACTCGGATTTGTTCACGGACTCAATGACCTTCTTGATTGTGCGAAAGAATACGCGAGCCAGCGCATTTTTAGACGCGACGAGATCGATTGCTGTGCCGAACGCGTCCGTCAGAGCCAGATGCGATAGGTGAGAGATGCACCACTCCCACCAGGTGTCCATGAGCACCTGCAGCGTCCGTTTCACATCAACACCGGAATCAGAGACGCTGGTCAGCACGTCACGTCGCACTTCGATGCCGAACTCAAACAAGACGCCTTGCGACCATTGATCTAGGACGGCAGATGCCTTTTCGGCTAAGCGCTCGTCGGTTGTCGGAGCAAATCGACGCACGGCAAGGTTGTAGCCAATGTTAGCTTGACGCCTTGTGTTGAAGCAGACGCGCAACGCTAGGTACTTCTCGTTGCTTGTTTTGCTTTTAATGAGGTCCAAGTTCAACGACATGAATGGGATTGTGTAGTAACGACGCGCCTCAGCAATTTCGGAGACAATCGTGCGCTTGACTGTCTCGTACATCTCGACGTGGTGCTTCTGCATGTTGATGGACTTCAACCCACCCGGTCCAACAGGCAGTTGCTTGGCAAGCAGACGCCAACGGTCTGTCTTGAACGCATTGTATGGAATGGACTGCTCGACTGACCATGCCCCAAGCTGAACCTAGCAAAGCAGATGTTGAGAGACATGTCAGTTTGAACGTTGTTAGATAACACATCCGCCAGAAATCGTTCATTAGTGTACCTAAAACCATCGACGCGGGTCTTGCAGGAACGCATCCGATGACAGGTCCATCTGCTCGGCCAAAGCAGCGACTCGGCGATTCTCGAAATGCGTCTTCGAGGACTCAACGCCGTGTTTCGTCTTCAGGTGCTTCGTCGCATTCGATGTGCTCTTCTTAGTACATTTGATCACAAGCGGGGCGCTGACGTTGTAGCATCTGTCGAGCAGACACATGAAATACTCGCATCCATTAGCGTCTAGGATGCGGATTCCACATTGATTCAACAGAGACGTGCCTGTGCGTGAAGCCTTCTTGATCGTAGCGCCTGCGATGTTGGACGGAAGCCTTGGGCTGTTCATAAACTCAGCGATGCGTTCCTTCACGATGCTGACTTCAGCTGCAACCTCGTCTCCTCCGTCGCCCGAATCATCGATGCGATCGGCGCCGTCCTGGTCGCTCAAGACTCCATTGTCGTCATCGGCGAGATCAATTACGTCGAGCTCGGAGAAGGCTGCGTCTTCGTTGTCGCCAATGCTTGGGGCGTCGTCGTCAGACATCCGGCTAAGGAGTGGCAGTGACAGCTTGTGAGTTGTGACAGGTATTGATCAGAGTCAAGAGCTGAAGTCACCAATAGCCAAGAGCGAATCGGCAAGCAAAGAGATGGATCGTCACACTTGTGACTTGTACTAGTGCAAATCTGCGCGCACGCGGATGCAGTCAGCTAAGAAGGTTCCCAGCATCCAAGCGCGCACTTGCGCTCGCTCTCGCAGGAAAATCAAAGCGGAATGTGTAGGCGAGTACCAGTCCTCGCACACAGCTATAGCTAGCTGCTTTGTATTACAGAGCCATTCGCGCACGATTATAGTTAACTACGATATTTCCGGCCCTTCGTCATCCACAGCTATAGTTAACTTAGAAATTCTTCAAGGAGTATCGCGCACAACTGCGGAAACTAACGGCCCTTAGCTAACTAAAAGTTGGTACGCGGAGTTAGTGGTAAAAGGTCTATAAGCTTTAGGTAATATTCATTGATAGGAAGCATCTCACTTTCATTTTTGTTCACAAGTGCATTGTAAGCCTTTGTGGGGAAGTAATCTTGAATGATCTCATCCACGTCTGGTAGGTATCTGACTACCTTCTCATCCAAAACATTGAGAAGTTTTTGAATGTCCATTGGGTTGCTGTAGTGGAATAGCTGTATATGTGACTCCAGATCTTTGATGAATCTTGATGGACGAGGTACTCTTCAGCAACAAGGTCTTCCGTAGCGCGACCTCCTCTTTAATGACTTGCAGTTGCTAATTCTTCTCTGAAACGGAGGCTACAATCCGGATCCTGCAGTGTTTGAAGTTGTTGGCATTTGTCGTGGGTTTCGCTTCATGCTTGAAGTGCAAGTCTGATAGCTTGCAAAATGTCCAACTTGTAGGGATTGGACACCTTGTCTTCCATTTGTTGCTAGATAAGGCGGTTAAAGTACTACCGATAGTAGGCCTTCAGGTTCCGGATGATTTCAGCATCACATGGCTGTAGCTTTGACATGGTGTTTTGTGTAAGATAGAAGATTGATGTATTTCTCATGTGAATGCGATCACAAAAGCTCCGTCAGAGGAACGTGGGCACAACAATTGTCCATGATGAGAAGAACTTTTTT